TTGCCGAGGCCCTTCCAATCTAGGCCCCGGAGCTGCTGGATTTGTTGAACTGCCAACTTTCGTTGATGATACCGTCGTCTCACTAAAACTTCTCTGTTCTTACAAGAAACAAAAGCGAAAAACTACAGTGTGCCGGAAATTGAGGCAAAGAGTGAAGCGAATGAATCAAAACGTACACTTGGCTTGAAGAACTCACTGCTCCTTGTGTTCCTTTGCCAATGTCGCGATCACGGTGCTTTTTGTTGAGCTTTTTCTTAAAAGCGGTGCGTTCCTGTTTCGGTAACCAACGTTCCGGGTCAGGTGGCACTTTAGGATCGAAGTTCTTCGGTAAAATGATCTTGCGCTTACGTTTCCATGCTTTTCGTTTACTGGTAACTATTTCCTGAAAAATTCATTACAATCAAGCAAGATCAAACTGCCACAACACTCCGTCTTCATAAAAAAAGACCCATTAGGCACCATAACCCTTCTTCTGCACTGTAACATATATATTACCATATCTCAGTAAGCATAAGTTAATCTTCCTTATTTGTAAAGAACTGTCAGGATAGCCAGTGGCAAGCTGTTCAACAAGCGATGTACTACTGTTCAAAGCAACTCCAAGTGCATGGATGCAAGAAGAGTTGGTGAATTATTAGCTGCCCAGCTATGTCTGCCTTACAGAAATGCCCCAGCAATGAAAGAATTACAGCCTTCCCATCAATTTTAGGCCTTCGTAGCAGGCTGTCAGCTTATAGAAGAGCAATGTTGCAAAGTGATGCAACATCAAACCCCTGCTTGAAAAACAAGAGACAAGGGTGACAATCAAATGCCCTTTTAAGGCCCAGACTAAGGAAGGAAAAAAGAGGCCTCGGCAATCCATTCCTACCTTGCAACGACGTGTCTGAACTAGAATTTCATGGGAGAATATAGGGCAGTAACTGATAACTGACCGTATCGGGCAGTGTCTCCACTTTCGTTTCTTTCTTCTGACGATAACGATCGCCATACAGTACTGCATCCGAGAATTCCAGTGCGTCAACATCAATGTCGGAACTGTCCTCATGCGGGAATACCCTCATCGAAAGCTCCTCTGCTTTTTGCGGGTCAAATGTTGCATACGCTTTAATCAATCGACAGACGACTTGCAGATCATCGGGGCGAAGTTCGAAAAGCTGTTGTAAATAATCGACAGCGGAACGGTAGTCCTCCAGTTGTATGTTAAGCGAAGCAACCTCTTCTAGCAATTCAGCTCGGAGATTTTTATCACTCGCTGCACCTAATGCATCTTTCAAAACGTCAAGTGCCATCTGCAACACAATTTTTTACACTGAATTACCGATGAATATAGTAAATACACTCCCTTGTTATGGAATCTCGCAGTTTTTTTGGAAGATATTCCATCGACAGTGATTTTTTAAAATAATTCACAATCAGAAATTCTGTAAGTCTACAACTAGGCTCATATCATGAACTAGCCTCATCATAAATATACCATGAACCAGGCTCATATCATCTACAACTAGGCTCATACCGTGAAGATGAATAAACAAATCGTGCAGCGACTGGTTTTTCGGCTGGTACAAACAAATCCCTGACCTTCAGCCAGAGAGCAGCACCACAACAAAGTCAACCAAGCTCATATAGTATGAACAAAGTATCCAGAACGTAAGTTATCAAAGCATAAGTTATACCTCCTGTTGGTTTGTAGCCAACAGTATGGCCACCTTCAACTGCAATATTGCTGGAAAAGACAGAAGTTTCGGCGGAAGTGCGTTCAGGACTTGACTCGCTTCTTCTAACTTTCCTGGCAAATGAGATCACTAAAGATACTAAGCTACTGAAACAAAGAAATATCATTTCGAGGCCCAATTTCCCGAATTTGTTCAAAGCAACGGTTCAGAAAACTAAATCTCAAGAAGTTTTTGGTTTTTTACCTTCATCAAGCATGATCTGCAGCGCAGTCAATTTCGTCTCGTTCGACGTGTCGCTCTCGAGAATCGCAAGTGCCTTCTGCGGGTCCTTCGAGCGAACATGCAGTGCTGCTTCAACCAATGTCATCTCCTTACAACGACCAAATTTTTTTGCAAATTCTTCAAGAGTTCGGCGACACGGCTCACGCTGGTTTGAGAAGAGGTGTACTAAAGCCTAAAATACCAAAGGCGTAAGTATAGAAACAATAAAAGGAAAATGCTCCACTGAAAAGCAAGAGATTCACGTCTCCGGTAGGAAGATGGTGTTCTGCTGAATTTCAAGCGAATTTTGATGCAAATACTAAAATTCTGAAGTATCCTGTATGGTGCTGGAATAGTAACTACAGTTTTGCCTAAATTTTTGAATTTGAGAAAAATTCGGGTCCGCAAATGTTTGAAAACGACCATAGCCTGCATCAGAGAATAGTGAGCAGCTACGGAGGAATTGTGCCTGAAGGATACCGAGAGCAACAGGAAGAGATAAAACTTCGTAAGCTAACGCTGAGATAGTTATCTTGAAATTTTGCAAAAATTTTGTAAAACCCATAAAAGTTAATTAGCCAGAAACTCTGCCAAGCTGAAAACAGAGCACCTGATTCAGTAGCAGTGTACGTCGCTGTCGACAAGTAAGCTTGGAATTTTCAACTTGCAGAGCAGCTTTCAGCTTCTTTCGTGCTTCCAGCAAATTTTGCTCGCTGCGAGCCGACGGTATATTATTGGCAACTGTTGCGGCAACGCTTTTGTCCGAAACACTAAAATTATACATTGAATGACTATCGATATTTCGAAAATAAACTTTTAGAAATGATTTCGCGAGTTGGATCAAGTGCTATAGGAACTTATCGCATAAAAGAAATAGGTGTGGAAATCAACACACTGAGAACGATGGGGATACAAAGTGCCGGCAAGCAAACGGTTAAAAACCCCGACTTTGAAAATGTTAACAATTATTTTAATCTTAGTTAGGAAACAAACATTTGCAGCAATTCTCGCTCACAGACTGCACGTGGAAAGCGTACTGGACGACGCAAATTTAACAGTGTCGAAATGGAAGGACTGGGCTCACTTCATCAATACTACTGCCCTGAAGGAGATTACTGCTAAGAAACGTGATCACTGATGAAAGCAGAGCGAATGCCGACTGTGATTGAGGCAGCGATGAAGCAACGACTGTTTCCAAATCCACATAATTGGACATCAGTTACTAATTTAAGGTGTTTTTGCACAAGAAGGTAACCGGATGAACAGGATATTTTGCTTGCCCTGCTGACAGTCGGTCAGGGTAACGCAACAGTAAATGATATACATTTTCGATCTGGTACAGTTTCGCTTAGCGAAACAGTGCATCCCGGCAATACCACTAATATCGGAACCTCACAGCGAATTTCTGGCCGGTCATGGTAGCAGTGGTAATTTTTAAGTTATTTATGAAATAGAAACCTTGAAAAAAATAATTTTTCGGAACAATATTTTGATGCTTGCTCACTTTAAATCTTGGATGCGCAAATAAATTTTGAAAGCATCTTCATTTCTGCCTAATTTTTGAAGCACGAACGCCTTCTGTACTCGAATCACCGAAAGTTCCTCTTCGATTTCTTCTTCAGCCAAACCTTCTTCTATTAGTGTATCACTGCATACTTCTAAAAGCACAGAAATCTACACAGTGTCATGTTTCTTTAACGAGCCAACATCACATGTTTCCGTTTAGTTACACCAAAAATTTCGATCTGCTCGAAGTACTATAGCTGCCCATCCTCATCAAAAAGCGTTGCCAATAGAGAGAGAGAGAGAGAGAGAGAAAAAAATAAATAGCGGTGCGCACCAGGACAGCCGCTGCGATCATGCGTTTTGTGCAATTTCACTCATCGAAAGATTGTCTGCTAATGATTTTCAATGCGCCGCTGAAACTTTCACGGGGCCGTAGGTGATACCCGAAAGCTCGGGAACGCCGAACTTGAATAGGCAAGGTCGAGCGTGGGCAGGGGGTTATTACACTAAAATTTCATTCAGTGGTTCCCGAGATAATAATTTACCCGTCACGTACGTGTTACCCGCAGGTAGGGGAAAGCTGAATTTAAATTTCCTGGGTAGCACATGGGTTGGAGACACGCCCACAAGATTTCAACCTTCTAGCTTCCATGGTTCCCGTGATAATAATTCTACCAGCCCAAACTTTTACGGTGCCGCACTTGTTCCCCGCGAGTACGGGGAGCTTGAATTTAAATTTGTGGAGTCGCCCGTAGGTGGGGAACGTTCCCCTAAATTTTCAGCTTCTTAGCCTTTGTGGTTCTTGAATTGAAAGTTACGGACAAGTTGCTGCGGACACACACACACACAAGCGCACACAGACAACCTTGTGACAGTATGCGTTTTGTACTGCTGTTACACAGCACAAAACGCATAAAAACTAACTTTCCGCTCTCTCGAGATATCTCAGCGCCTGTGAATAATCTTCGGACTCAATCAGCTGGCATGCACCATTGTAAAGTTGCTCAAATGTGTCCAATTGTGAAGGCTTTTGCTGGAAATACTTCTTCAAATATGCGATGTGCGGCATGGAGTATTACGAAATGGTGAAACCCTATCACAGAAAACACGAGAAAATTTCCAAACAAAAGCGAAAAACTGCACCAAGATGAAACGACTG